TATCCTCGATTAAAAATTAAAATGTAGATGCATTGTCACCCCTGAGGACTAAGATAGAGCCCCCGTTATCAGCAGTAGTATCAAACAGGATCTCGGGTTCTCTACACTCACCTTTCGAACACACAAAAATATTTTGCTGCTATTTCTTGCTGGAATTAAGTGGTTTTGGTCACTGGAATATCTAGGCTTGATCGATGACCGATGACTACCTTCTCTTTTATTCCTCGACGTCATTCTGTCTTTTATTCGAGATGCTAAGATGAATTTAGTAATTACTAAAATACTTTTTTTTAGTTCGCAGTAAAGAGTTGTTGACTATCTAACTCTAAGCCACGAAACTCTATGCTGAAAAGAAAAAATCATCATGTCATGTGATTTAATTAGATAATGTGTTCATTTTCGTCAGTCAGTAACGTTGGTTCGTAACTGTCGACTGATGGACACCGGCCTCTACTATGGTGAAAGGGCTCATCATAATCTTGTTTTATTGTTATATTATATACTTTCTTTATTGTTTTATTGGAGCGTATTACGGTTACAGTTTCTTGACTGCCATGTTGGTCTAGTGATCATAAACTTGGTTGCTTGTCATGAGATTCCGCGTTCGAGTACCGGGGCCAGGCTAAATCACTTAACCCTCTACTTCGCAAAAAAGTTGTAGTTAAAAATGTATTTTGTGAGTAATTCTTTTTAATAATATTCTTATTTATCTAAATAGATTTTCAGAAAAAGTATGCTAAAAATACGTAACATTGCGAAGTAGATACGGTTCAAGTGTACAAAAGACATGTTATGTATTTTTAACATTGCGAAATATTCAGGGAATTTATAATAAAACCAAATGCTGTATAATTATAACATTATTTAATATAATAAAAGCAAATGTTTAGGAAAATTACAATTTCATGATCATTGAACGTTTTAATGTCTTGTCCCTACATTAAAACGTTCAATGATCATGAAATTGTTTGAAACAATTACGGTTTTTCACAAAACATAATCTTAAATAACACTTACAAATTACATTGGTCATCCCTTTCTTACAGAACTTACATCTACCCGGCGCTGTTGTGTAGTCAGGCATGTGACCATGTGACCTACACTCGTATTATCACGGCGGATAGAGTAGGCCTTGGCCCAGAAGGCTTTAGAATTTTATCAAATTTAGCCTGTTGAGTTTTTTCTAAAGACGTACTCGTACCAGCAGGCGTTCGATCTTTCGAGAGAAGTTCATAGTAAATCATAATTCTAAATATCTTTAGTGAGTCAGGAACTTTATTATAATGAGCACAATCTTTTCTATACATAATCCATGCATTATTCACGCAAATATCTAATACTTAAGAGAACAACGCCATATACCACCTTTTCGTTTTATAATTAGTGCGGTAAAGGTAAATCAGCATATTACACAAATCCACACCTCCCATATGGGAGTTATAATGTTTCACTATTTGAGGGCATCGAACATCTATCTTGGATTTGGTTTCTTTAGAATATCGCCTAATTTTCTCCATTGGAAACGAATCCACATAAGAGCTTGCTAATATAACAGATTTGTTAGCATGCCATTTAACGACACTCAATTTATTATCATTGCAAACTGATTGTTTACTGGAACCTCTACCTTTTTTCAACAAGTCTTTATCGCTAGGCAGTTTTTCTTGTACCCTCTTAAACGATTTGCTCTGATTGTGCCCAAGGAAAAAATACCATATTCACTGCCTAATAGATGAATTAGTTCTAGAGATGAAAAGAAGTTGTCGAAATATACAACCGCCGGTTTATGTTCAATACTCTGGCAGAGAGCTATTACAACTTTGGCGCCAACTCCTAAAGAGTTTTCATATTCCGTGAAGGAATGGTATCTGAAAGTATCTTCTCCAGCATAAGGAACAAAATCGTAGATACAACTAGATACCCCAGCCCTGACGAACATTTTAAAACCCCACTTCTTTGGTTTCTTTGCCAAATATTGGCGCCTGTTGCCAGCTCTCGTACCCTTATAGGCCACCATCATTTCGTCGATACTATAGCGATGTTTCTCTTCTATTTTAAGGTAGTTTCTACGTACTGCTTCTAAAATTGTCCGCACTTTGAAGTAACGATCTCCATTTTGTTGATAGTTATCAAAGAAATGCAAAAACTGGCGAATTTGTTCATATCGCTTCAAGCTCATAACATCGGCAATAAGATTATATCTCAGGTCCTTTTTACAGTAGTTGCGATAGGACGGCATCTTAACAACACCCATTAACAGATTGATAGCAATAAAATCCAGCAACTCGTCATGAGAAAGATTAACAGACTTGAGATGTCGTTGCACTGCGTATAAATTTGTATTTTGAATGATAATGTTGATGACATCTCCACTAAAAAAATCCGCAAAATAATCTGACGGAGACATCGTTTCCGAACCAAATTGAGTGAATTCCTCCAAGGTTAAATTTACCGCCTTCCCATTTAAACTCTAGTGGCTTTCTCCCAAATACTTTCTTTTTTTTGTAAGTAAATGAGGTAAATTAATTGCTTTTTTTTTCAAATGTGTTTCTTTGACTACTGTTGAAGCAACAGGGCTTGGCGACTTGGATAACATTGAAGAAATGAATTGCAGTGCAGGCAGATCTTGTGGTGGAGTGTGTGTAGCAAGTACTTCACTTATAGCGGGTGTGGATGGTATTAAATCTTCCGGCAAAATCTCATCATTTTCTAAAATATTAAGTCGCTCAAACGAGGAATCTTATGAGCGGGGATCGGAACTATATTCAGTATAATCAATTAGTACATTGACCTCATTATCATCTTCGCTACTATCACTGGAAGGAGCATCTTGTGGTGGAACAAGTGCTAGTATTTTCCTCACACGCTCTAATCGCAGGTTACCCTAAAATAAACAAAGCAAAATTATGCATGCGAACACCCCCAAACACCAATAAAAGCAATAGGTACATCTTCCACCATTTCACAATGTTAGCTATTTTTTACACTCATAACTATATGGTAATCATCGGTATCTTCGCAATGTTAACTATAGCTAACGTTGAACTTTAACAAGTTATAGCGCATACTCTCATGTATAATTTGTAAAAAATGTTTGTAATATCGTAGAATGCAATCATAAAAACATAAATAATATGTTACTTTAACACGAAATACGACATTAATTTGAAAAAAAACAATATTTCTTACCACGGGAGCAGCTCGAGATCGGAACGCCATTTTTCACAGTACTGTCAAAATTGACATTAGAATGACGTATTTTACTCGTATTTTGGTAGGGATGCATAGTGATGTCCTTTACTTACTAATTAAAAATAATCGTAAGATGAACCGATAATATTGTCAGTGAATTTTTCGAATTCTGAATGTTAAGTATCGCTAACGTTACGAATTAAAGAGTTAAAGGGTTTTCTGTCCAGAATTTATCAGTTAGGAAGTTGACGGTGTTTCCACAGATCGTAAAAGAACGTTTAAAATGGCTCCGGGCTATCGCCGGACTGATCCGATTGAATACATAATTTCTATAAAAACTTAAAAAAAACTCCGTCATAAGGTTTAAAATTGCGTAGCGTCCGCGACGATTAAAACCGCTAAGAAATTGTCAGAATCTTAAAATATTTAAAAAAATATTGATTTTAGTAATCAAAATAATGAGCTAGTATATTACGAATATTGATGTTATGAATATATATGAGTGATTCTCAAGCATATATAGATTAAGTAATTTCGACTACATAGGTATAGTGATTTTTAGAGATGTTTTCATAAATAATTATGATCGAGTCAAAATTATACAATCGCGTTTTGAACAAGCAAATTCAAGAGAAAGATATGAATTTACCTATATCAAATTTCCAGTTTCGTTAGTGGTGTTATAGTCCTATACTATTCGATGAAAGGAAGTGCATTTTTTCGCGGTTGGTTCTGGGCGTGTTCTTTCTTCAGTCGTGTCGGTTTACCATCCCATCGGACTATGAGCGTGAGGAAATAGAGTGTACCTGTGCTTGCGCATACATTTGGGCACTATAATCCTTGTCCTGCGCGGATGGCTAGTCTCAATACTTACAATACACAAATTACAATACATACTTACATACATACAGATACTCATAAAAATACAGATTATACACGTATTTACAATTTAACAAAAGCTAATAGATGTAGTAAACACCCACGATTAATTATTCAAAACTTGATTACCGAACTAGGATAATTGTATAAATATTAAATATATGTGAGTATATATATATCCGGTTTATTTGCCGTTGTTTGCGGATTCATTTATTATTATTTTGGTAATAAACAATTGAATATTAGATATTTATGTAATTTAATTAAGGTATAATTACGATTCAAAATACTTCCTTAATAACAACGGAGCTAATTTGCGTGCGAATTTGTAAAATGATTTATCACATAACCTCACTTGGATAGTTAACGTTAAAAATGATAAAAAAAGAAGTTATCCGTCAATTACAGGCTATAAAGGTCCACGGTTGACATAAGCCTCTCTCATATATATCCTCATAGGGGCGATTTTGCCACAGTTGCCACTCTTGGCAGGCAGGTTATCAACCGCAGTTTTTATTATTTTGAGTTGTTATCAGGAAGATGCTGCTGCACATCTTTTGTTTCAGTTTCCCACTGTCATATCTGACGACACCCTCTGAACGATATGGGGTAGTGGGTATTGTTACACAGCCACTACTCGGTTAAAAGAAGGAAGTTATGACCGAACATATTTAAAAAAAATAAACCTACACACTATTGGAGAGCTTCGCCTTATTGAAGTCGTTTATATATAATTAATGTTTTTTTTTCTTTCTAGCTCCACAATGGGGGGCTTAAAATCCCTCATCATCCTGCATCTGGTGTACATCACCCGCTGCATGGACCAGCTTCACATTGTGTACGAGTGGAAGCAGCTCGACTTTGAGTTCCCGACCCCTGAAGCTCGCCAGCATGCGATCGAAAATGGGTCGTTCGTCCCGGAGAACAATATGCCTATGGGCGTGGAGGTGTCTGGAGACAGGCTATTTATCACCGTGCCCCGGTGGAGGTCCGGGGTGCCAGCCAGCTTGACCTACATCAACCTAAAAGGTATTAAGTTTAGATTTTTTAATTACAAACATACTAGATTGATTAATCCACGGCTCCGTGGCGCAGTGGCTTAGCAATAAGTTACAGCGTTAAGGGTCGCGGGTTCGAATCCCGCACGGAACAAGTATTTGTATGGCCTACAAGTAATTATTCCGGGTCTGGATGTGTGTGCTTGTGCAATTTATATATGTAACTGCCACTACGACACAAGAATAAATCCTTGTGTGAAAGTAACATTACTTAAAATAAAGATAAAAATAGTTATAAGAGACGTAGTAGCTAGAGAGCGAAGCGTTTGCTATAAATTTAACAGTAGGCGAGCGACCCGGGTTCAATACTCGGCACCACCAATGTTTTGAGTGTTGATTTACCACGTGCTCGGCGGTGAAGCAAAACATCGTAAGGAAACCTGCATGTTTGAGAAATTAAACAATTCGAAGACACGTGAAGTTCGCTAACACGCATTGGAGAAGCACGGTTGACATTTTCTTTCTCTAAAACCCTCTTATCTTAGTAATGAATGGCAGCATGCGCTTTTTTAGCGCCCGGAAGCACTCCCTCCCCCGCTTTCCGAAGACTAGCCCTAGGAGGTGGTTAATGTTCTAAGCATACCACGCAGCCGGCTGCATGGTTATGTGGGACTCACCAAGAAATCTTACCCACTAAACACCACCTGTGAGACTGGCTTTAACCTGGTAGGATCTTTTAGCCGTATCGGAAGCGACTGTCCTTAGGGAGAATGGGGCGCAGGATAGCAGCATGTGCCCACTTCATAATCGGCGTGATAGGTTCATCACACCGAATCAATTAATGTGTGTAGACGGCTAGATTTATCTAGAGTTTTTTACGTGGGAAAGCCACGCTGCAGCTATAATATGGTACAATCATACACACGAATCATCACACGAATGTGTCTGCTTGACCTGGGAAGGACCACGAGCTCACATAACACTAGCGTGAAATAGCAGCTTAATGTTGCTCTGTTTCGTATGGTGAGTGTAAAGAACCGGAGACTCTTTTCACTGATATCAAGGAATTCTATCTATCCTCAAGGTTGACAACGCATTCTGCATTTTGATTCTTAATTAGGATAGATAGTTACATCAACCAAAAACCATCAGATGAACTGTGAACTCTTTTATCAATTTTTACTATAGAAAAATGTGTATACAACCTGAAATGAATTAGCTACTAGCATCAGGATCAAGAACAAAATTCAAATTGATGTAGATCAACAAAAATAAACAAATTTTTTATTACAAACTCTAAATTTCTTTTCATTACATTTCAGATAACTCAACAATGTCTCCAAAACTGATACCGTACCCGAACTGGGAAGCACATACTCCAAGAGCTGACGGCAAGCCAGAGATAGTATCCCCCTTTAGAATACGGGCTGACCGCTGCGACCGTCTTTGGGTGTTAGACAACGGCAAGATTAACAACTTAGGGAACGGCACGATGAAATTCCCTCCAGCTCTTCTAATTTACGATCTTAAAACTGACAATCTCTTACGAAGATACACTTTCCCACAGGACCAAGTGAAAGAGGAGTCCGGCTTTGTGAATATCGCTGTAGAAGACCGCGATTGCAATGACACGTACGCATACGCCGGTGATGTTGGAAAACCAGGCATTGTGGTTTACTCATGGGCGAAGAACGATTCGTGGCGGATCACTCATCATTTCTTCCATCCCGATCCCCTAGCCTGCGATTTTAGCGTCAAAGGCTACAACTTTACCTGGACCGATGCAATATTCGGCTTGGGCTTATCCGGACCAAACCCAGACAACTACAGCACACTCTACTTCCATCCAATGGCAAGTTACAATGAGTTCGCGGTCTCCACAGAGTATTTAAGGAACCAGTCGGTAGCTGACAGCAATTTTGAAGCGTTCAAATTACTTGGCAGTAGAGGGCCCAACGCTCAGTCTAGTGCCTCATTCGTCGATCCCAAAACGGGTGTTTTGTTCTATTCCTTGGTCAATCTGAACGCAGTGGCGTGCTGGAGGACGACTAACAAAAACTACAACATGAAGAACCAGGGCCGGATTTTTATGAACGATGAAACTATGATCTACCCTACTGATATCAAAGTTGATTACAATGATAGTCTTTGGATATTGTCCAACAGGATGCCGATTTGGATGTACGGAAAACTGGACCCTAACGAGGTCAACTTTAGGGTGTTTTACGCGCCAGTACTGGACGCAATCAGTCACACAGCTTGTGATATCACCCCGAGATCGGATATACTTGATAAGTTTGTGAATAAAGTAAAGAATGTAACAAACAAAATAGCTGCGAAGATTAATCCCAATTCCAGCGCTGCCACTTCTCCGTTTTCATTGCTTGCCACTCTGGTCTCAAGCTGGGTTATAGCTTTGACGATTTCTTACTAAGTGTTATTAAAATAAGTTTTGGTAGTGTAAGCTTTGTGTTGCGGGAGTAAAGCTTTTTAAATTTTTACATTCCTAAAGTTTACTGGACGCAATATGACAAAACATCTACATAAAATCACACAATCTTATGTTGTTATTTAAGTAAATATTGTTAATTATGAATATAATATAAAATATTATATGACGACCGTTCGAATACCGGCTCAAAAATATCTAATAATTTATATTTTCAAAATATATCTACTACTATTCATTGTAACATTTCCGGTCTAACCGGTGGCTTTTATTTGTATACGTTACCGCTTTATTTATTGTGATTGTAAGTACCTAATAAGTATTTCATAGGATAGACTGCGTACTTACTACAAGTTTGTGCCTTAGATATAGTCATAATGTAGCTATCAACAATCAGAGATATACTAAGTTGTTTGTAAATATGTTATAATTATGGCTGTAATAAATGCTACTTATAAAACTTTACCGTTTTCTATTATTCATTTATCAAAACACCTTTATTTGCTTGACTTGTATGTATGTCTGAAGGTATGTAATAAATTTTTACATTTTTTTAACCTGTAACTATTCTAAGCCAGTGTGTAAATACTATCCCATCTGACGGTAAGTGGTGATGCAGATAGCAGATAAATGCCGAAGATGGTATAGAGCAATGTAAAAGGTTAACACATGTAAAAAGGTTAAAACAGTAAACAGAAAGGCCCGCCTGCTTAAAAGAAGTTTACGGAAAAGAGAAAAGTTTCATATCCTATGTCAATTCTACAACTAATATGATTGTAACGACACCCCATATGTTGAGATCAGTTAGGCTATTTATGTACAGATATAGAGTGTCCATAGATAGATAGACACTTGAAAAGTATTACCTTCTTCCGGGGCATGTGCTGCACAGCTTCCGGAAAGGCAGATGCTGGTAAATTACTCCACTCCTTTGCTGTACGCATGACGATGAAGTAAATCGTTCGGTTCGAATACGTAGTAAGTCGACAATAAAGTGAACGGGCTGAACGTCTGGTTATCCGATGGTAGAAAGAATTTCGATAAGATACTTTGCGCCTGTGTTCGATACCGGTGAGATTGGGAGTGACATAAAATTTTCACCTTCTTCCGGACTTCTAAATAATCTGAAAATTTACAGACGTATTAAGAACAGATGACAATAGTTATTTTATGTATTATCTACTAAAACCTAGTATTTTAACTTAGAACACCGTAACTCACGATCAATCAGTTTTGTTAAAGTATTTTTTAAACCCTTATTTTATTGTTTTAGTTGACGTTTTATGTCTTCGCAAATTTGTCCTATAGACCTAGAGTTTTGAGACAGACAAAGCTTTTTTTATTATAAGGGTGACAAACGAGCACACAAACTGATGGTAAGTGGACTCAGAGTGGCCGATAGATATATACATTTTTCCTCAATTAATAATCTAAATGCAGATGCGTTGTCACTCTTGAGAACTAAGATAGAATACCCCGTTTCGAATATAAAGGGTCTCCAGTTCTCTACACTCCCCATACGAAATACAGCAGTATTAAGCTGCTATTTTGAGCTGGTATTCTGTGAGAGCGTGGTCCTCCTCCCCGGTCGAGTCGACCCATTCGTGCTACAACTATAATGTAATTGCAGGACAGCTCTGCAACGTACTAAAGTAGCTGTAAGAGTCGAATGGCTAATAGCACCAACATTAGCGAGAATAGTACCACCATGTTTGCTCTAGACGACATGTACCATTGAAATATTACGTAAATATCTGTACTTCAATGGTGATGGTGCGTACACTTCATGCAGTGCTGACAAACGGGTTCGACTTTATTCGGATGTTATATTAAATTTCAAAATAAGCACATTGAAATTTAATATCAAATTGAATGATTGAAATTGAAATTGATGCAATTAAACATATTTTGGTCTTTTATATATATCTCAAAAATACTATAAGTTAATTATAACGAGAATAGGGACCACTGAATACCGGTAAAATGGTTGGGTAACGGTAAAGTGGCGTATAAATGAAATTTGATATCAATGAAATAGCTACTTATTAACTGTTTACAGGTCAGTTATTAACACTATATGTAAATAAAATTATTTTTATTTCATCTTAAGGTTGACATAAACAGTGCAAGTTGTATAAAATATTTTTTCTGAGGACTCTTCGTAAAATTCGGACAATCTGCCTGACTAAAATACTTATGTCAAATTAGAGCTCAATTTCGATTATTTTGCTCTTTTTGGCGAATTCCTTGAGCTGATGTTAAAATACTCAATTAACTGATTTCGAGAGGTGAATATGGAAAATGCTAGAAAGATCTATTGGACTCCGACAGATGGCAGTACCTGTAACTATTTCGTACATATTGGTACGTATACTCTAGATAAATAGATCCGGTGTCGAGGAGCAGTAATATAGGTATAGTTTGTTAATGAATTTGTCAATCTGCCTGCCAAGCATGGAGATTACAGCAAAATTTTCCTTTCTTAAAAGAGACCAAAGAGTATGTAATCACTATTCTTAAAAGAGACATTTTTAAGTTGTGTACTATGCCCTCTGTCGACTATTGACGAAACTAAAATTTTCAAACATATCTCTCTTTATATCTCTTTAGTTCAAAGATGGCGCTAAATCTGTGTAGAATTAAAATTGGACGTGCAACAGATGGCGCTTTTTATTAGCAACACAGTACCTGATGATAAGTGGAAGCTGTGGCCCACAGATATCTATATTTATCCTCGAATAAAAAAAGAAATATACTTAGTAGAGTTACGCTGCACCTGTAATATGGTTGTAGCACGGATGGGTCGGCTCGACCGGGTTAGGACCACACTCACAGAAAACCAGGGTAAAATAGCAGCTTAATGCTGTTGTGTTACGGATGGTGAGTGTAGAGAACCAGAGATAGATTTTACTGGAAACGAGTTCCAGTAAAAGGGATCTCCGCTTTTCGGCATTCGATCTTAGTCCTCAGGTGTGATAACGCATCTGAATTTTTATTCTTAATAAAAATTCACATAACAGACACAAGCGTTATCAATTATGATAAATGAAGATGTCGATGGGCCATAGAATCCACTTAGAATCAGGTTGATTGTTTGCTCGTTTGTTACACATATTTCATGAAATAGAGAAAAAATGCAGATTTCATCTCTGAGGAATAAGATGGAATGCCTTGTTTCCAGTTAAAATTGTCTCCAGTTTTCTAAACGCACCATAAAAAACACAGCTGTATTAGAGTAAGAGCCAACGTTCAACCCAACCCATTTATGCTGAAATCATAATATAGCTACAGTGTGGCTCTACTTCACACTCTACAACTATTATTAACTATTAATAAACTAATATCACTTCTAATAATAATAATGGTATACCCATCTCGTTAACACCAGTTGTTGTGTACCTTATACTTAATATTAAATAAATGTTTATAATATGACTATAGCAATATCTCGCTTCCGGAAGAACTCAAATACTAAGTGGGCCCATATTTAAAAAAAGATTGACGACTGGCTCGAATTTTTATTTCTTTTGTGAAATACATTTTTATTGAATTTGAATTATATAATTAATTACCAAATTTTTGCACGTCTGCGAGCAGGCTGAACACAAATACTGTACTTATATTTATTGTGACCTTTTTAAAGTGTTTTTGCAAATAAATTTTTTGAACTTAAACTTGAAGTGCGATGGAGAGCAGCGTCAAACGTCTGGAACTGATACGTGGTAGAGCAATGCTGCAGTTATGTAAGTAGTATAGTTGTAGCACGAATGGGTCGGCTCGACCGGGGAAGGACCACGCTCTCACAGAATACCAGTGTAAAATAGTAACTTAATACTACTATTACTCCTTCGTACCGTGAGTGTAGAGAACCGGAGATCCTTTTTACTGGAAACGAGGCATTCCGTCTTAGTGACAACGCAGCTGTATTTTGATTCGTAATCGAGGATATGTGTAGATATCCTTCGGCCACAGCAATCACTTACCATCAGGTGGACTGTGTGCTCGTTTGTCACCCTATCTTATAAAAAAATTGCAAGTCATCCCAAACGGGAGAAGCTACAAGTCAAGGAAATTCCGTGACCATATGGGCTAATATAGAAAAAAAAAGAAGGTCTATTCTATCTCGCAAAGACCAATGACAGGTGTGCCACTTAATGTAAAGGTCGTGGGCTCGAATCCGCCATTCGACTACTTGTCGTAAACCACTCCTAACACAAGCATAATAGTAGTAATGTTAATTGCATTACTAGTAGGTATTTAAAAAAAACTTACATTTACGTTCCGTTTGATTTTGATTACAGCCTCAACTTCGGAATCCGATAGAAAGCTGTCCACTATCATGTACTTATCATTTCATCAAGTTTATTCGTCTTCCAGTTCGGCATTCCGTCTATTGCAGGACCGTCCCGCACTTCGCTTTCTAATCGGATGAATATTATATCGTAATTATATTGACGCACGAACATCATCGTAGCCTAAGTACATCGAAAACCATCGTGTTGTCCAGATCCTAAGTCTCGTTTATGGGATCGGATAGACGAGGATAGTGTAGAGAAAACACCTCACCATCAACCTTGTTTTAGAAATCAAGAATTAGCCGACGTAAACCAAGCAAAAATGCTGACGCAAGCCGGGATTGGAACTCAGGATCCGTTACAAAATAATCAAGACATATGGATATTTGACGTGGTAGAGCCAGGCTTTAGTCTTCTTCAAAGTATATACTACAAGTCTCATATTTGGTGCTAAATAATGCTACTGAGACACTGCTTTCTGTAGCTACTCTGAATATTTCACATCTAAACATTTGTACGTGTTGTAATTACCCTGCTTAATAAGCTCAAGTACGATCGGGATTGCTCAACAGGGAAAGGATCAGCTTCGCATAGAATAACAGCGTAAAATAGTAGCATAATGCTGCTGTGTTTAGAATGGTGAGTATAGAGACCCTTTTTTACTGGAAACAAATCTTAGTCCTACATTTTGATTCTTAATCAAGGATAGACGGAGATGTCTATGGGCCACAGCACTAGCCGTCAAGTGAACTGTGGGCTCGTTTCTTAATCTTATTTTAATAAAAAAAAATTAACCATATGCAGTACAATATTAAAACATCAAAGAATAATAAAATATTATATTAGGGCATTTTTATAGCAGTGTTTAATAACGCATATCAGCTAATATTTCACGAAAGAAAATTTATGGTTTAATAAATAATGTTATATAGAAGCGATATCCGCACAATAAAGATATAAATGCAGTGGCGGCTGGACGCTAAATGAAGAAACAAGGATGGGTTAGTAAAATAAAAAAATGACAATTATAATCGACGAAGAGGTAAGTCCTTCTGTTTAATAATGTTAAAATCTTAGTCATAACATACGAGTACAAAGTGTGCGTGCCTTGTATGTTAAAATAAAAGTTGTTTAAAGTATATTAATAAAAACTAATTTTAACATTTTTTTTAATTTACTCGCTTTAAATGGAAAATTAAGGCGGAAAGCTCGCTTTTCTTTTCTCAAACGATTCCATCAAAAATATGTAAAAAAATTAAAATAGAAATGTGCCCTTAGTCATAGTCTCCTTTTCCCATATGCTAAATCTCTCATCCACGGCATAATAATATGTTCCTTATCCATAAAGTTAGAATGTTTAACATTTAAATTGATAAAGTCTGATTAACATAAAATAGAAAAAAAATGGTTTTCCTTAAATAATTATTGTGTGCCGAAATGAAAATATTATTATGAGATTTACATTCGTATATTATTTATCTATAACATTTTATTTCAAGGCTGAAGAGTTAAGGAGTTTCAAGGAGAAGTGCGTCAGATGCTTGGAAGGCCCGAATTTGATGAAGGCATTGGTTGTCACGGGATGTATTGCTGTTGCGGTTCAACAGGCGAGTGTCTTTTTTTATAGAATAAGGGCTGAAAACGAACATGCAGTCCATCAGATGTTAAGTAGATGCTGTGGTCCACTGACATCTACATCTATCTTTGTTGACGTTGTCACCCCAGAGGAGTAAGATGGAAAGCCTCGTTTCCAGTGGAAGGGTCTTCGGTTCTCTTCACTCAACATACGAAACACAGCAGCCTTAACTGTTTTTAGCTGTTATTCTGTGAAAGTAATATAACGATTATGTAGCTGTAGCATGACTCTACTACGTTTGTTTGAGTATGGTAGCTGAGCCCGAAAACCCAGTCCGCCTGTGGTGCAGTGCATTTTGAGTCAAACCGGGTTTTACACAACCGCTACTACTGCATCGTAGATGTAACGCAGCCTTTTTTACTATCATAAAGACGTGAGTCACTTGCCAATAACGCCTATTCGTGCACAGTGAAAGCAACTTGGATACGGGTACCATTTTGACGCGCAACCTACAATGTAACCTTATTGTAATCATTAATTCTTGACAGACTACCACGCGTACCGCGTGTGTTCACACTTCACATCATATCAACCAATCCATTTGTCGCTTCTACCCATAGGTTGCTGGTTAAAATCCGGCTCGAAGGATCAAAAACTAGCTTTTTCAAAGGTAGTTTTACTATAAAGTAAGTCTACTTTAAAAGCAAACCGTGTGGTGTTAGAATAACCGATACCCGTTGTCGTAAGGCGTGATACATAAGCCAGGAGACGGGCAGCTGCATCTTCCTAATAACAACTAAAAATAAGAACTGCGGTTACCAATCCGAAAGTAAAGCGTGGCCACTATGACAAATAATACGAGCCTAATATGGTAAACAATCTATGACAGAGGCCTATGCTCAGCAGTGGCCTTTTAAGACTGTAACGATGATGGTACTGTGAAGTGGCAGTGTAAGGGAATCTATCACCCGTTTCATCTCTTGACTATCGTAAGAGGCTATGAAAATGCCAGAAAGATATTTGAAGGTATTTGCCATAGTTGCCACACTTGGCAGGAGGGTTGTCTACCGCAGTTTTTAATTGTTTTGTCGTTTTTAAGAAGACGTTGCTGCCTATTGCCTGGTTTATTTTCCGCTGTCGACTTTTATGACACCTACGGGCGGGACGATAGTATGGTACTGAATATTCTCACACTGCCCCTACATGATCACGGTCTGTTACTATATTCTAGCCTCTGAGTACAGGAGATACTTGAATTTTTTTTACACAGATATCAGTGTGCGTAAACAAACTTATCGACATTCCAATAACAACATATACTCATTTCGACTTCAACAAGACCGTCGTGTACCCGAGTCTGACGTTCTGCAGGGAGCCACCGTACAAGTACGATACACTAATGGTGAGTGTTAAATTTATATATTACTTATTTGGAGGAGTGTAAATTGTTCTAAAAGAGATACAGAGAAAATTAGAGAGATTTTTATACGTGGTAGAGCCATGCTGCAGTTTTATATTAGTAGTATAGTTGTAGCACGAATGGGTCGGCTCGACCGGGGAAGGACCACGCTCTCACAGAATACAAGCGTCAAATAGTAGCTTAATGCTGCTGTGTTTCATATGGTGAGTGTAGAGAATCGGAGATTCTTTTTACTAGAAACGAGGCATTCCATCTTAGTCCTCACGGGTGACAACGCTTTTACCATCAGGTGGATTGTGTGCTCGTTTGTCACCCTATCCTATAAAAAAAACTGTGATAGTTTAGGGCCTAAGCGTCCGTAATAACACTCACAGTGCGCGACCAACTCGGGTTTGGTCCTTGTTTTAAGTGCATTGCCACGTGCTAGGCAGATGGGTTGGCAAACGCAGTTTCTTTTATTATTTTGAATTGTTATCAGGAAGATGCTGCCGCCCAGTTTCCTTCCCGTTTAAGTTTCCTTTTGTAACCTTTTACGACACCTATGGGAGGATATGAGTTAGTGGATACTCTTACACCTATATTATACCTACTACTACTACTACTACTACTACTACCTACATACTATATGGCTGACATGTATACTTGGTTAAGTCTAGTATACAGGCTGTATCTTAATTTGCACATTGCTGTGAGGTGGCGGCGATTGAGAACCTATCACACTATCCTAGCAAACGTGCGTTATAAAAAACGATTATCGGGAAAGCAGGAAAGATCTATTAGCCTCCGATAGATGGCGGTAAACCTATTTCATGCTCACCAAATATAAAATACTCAGAATAGCGACAGGGACCAGTGCCTACGATACGAGTTCGAGACGTCAGGTTTTGCCATCACCAATTCGCCGCTAAGTAAGACGATTATGGCAACTATGAGAGATAGAAGATGATGAAAAAGAAGAAAATAAGAAATAGAAGAAGAAAAAAGAAGATAAAATCAATAAAGAAGTGTTGAAGTTGTTATAGTAAAATTTAAATATCTCTTTAGTTATCTTAATATTATAGATACGACAGCCACAGAATATGGTGGTGGTATAAGGGTGATGACTTCTCTTACTCCTCTTAAACGATCGTCATCATTACTGTCCTTCATAAGTAATCTGCTGTGTCTATATACCGGCCCAATGACTTCAGCTTACTGGTCCATTGAGTTAAATCCATCACTCTGAAAGTTTCCTCACGCGGAAATGATCTTGTATCGGATAGATTTATACTTGGAATAGCCTTGCTGCTACTAAATTATGTTTGTACACGAATAGGTTAGCTCGACTGAGGAAAAACCACGCTCTCTCAGAATACCAGTGTAAAATATAAGCAGTAGCTTGGTGTTGCTGTGATTCGTATGGTGTGTGTAGAGGTCCGGAGACACTTTTTACTGGAAATAACGTATTCCATCTTAGTCCTCAGGAGTAACAACACATCAGTATTTTGATTGTTTCATCGAGATGCAGATGTCTAATGAGTCACACCATCCATTTACCACCAGGTGGACTGTGTGCTCTTTTGTCACCCTTATGCTATATAAAAGAAGGTTGATATGCGATTACAACATGCAATTAGCAGCAGGCAGTGGTTGTGCTTTCAAATCATAATCATCTTTATCAGGAATATGGCCTTTACGCACACCCACGGTACACTTCCACTTGGGCCAACTTTAATTTTTCAAACATCAGCCTTGACCAGTTATGGGAGGAGATCACATATAACGAAAAGGAGTTCTTTGTACAGTACGGTCTTGAAGGTTCGACAGAGAGTAAGTATTTAGGATTTTACTGTAAAATCATTATGTTGTGTTAAGTTAGCGCAATACACCACACAACCAGATCCACAAATGGGTTATTGGCATAAATGTATGCGCTGATTTGGAGTCAAAAAGATAGATTTTTTAAATTAATATATACACATATTAATATATATATATATATATATATATATATATATATATATATATATATATATATATATATATATATATCACCCTAGAAAATCGAGATCAAATCTTTTTCTGTTTTATAAGAACTGTAAAATTATTTAGAATTAATTAAATGTACTCAAATCCGTAAAGAATGACAGTTTTTCTACTCAAAACCTCGCAAAACTGCTGTTTGCCCAGTGTCTTTCGCCTCTTCATAATGGATTAAAGAAATAAAAAATAAACGGTTTGTAATCTGTACTTTGTTGTATCTTTTGATATTGTAAATATATCACTGAAAACAAATATAAAAAAGATCCATTTTTTGTGAACTGAGTCATCAAAATACGATTTGAATCGGTATTTAAAAATCGATTTTTTTCGGAAAGGAAATCGCTATCTCTACTCTGAGACTAAGATGGAATGTGTCACAGCCTGTAACAATACTGGCTCTATATAGTCATCAGACACAGCAGTGCACGAACTCTCTTGTCAAAAGGAATAGGTTAGAGCAGTGGTGGGCAAACTTTTTTAATGGCGGGCCACAAAGTTTAGGAAATTCTAGAGGAGGGCCAGAATTATAGATAAAATGCATTTTGTGTTAAAGCTTTTAATTATAATATTATAAAAACATTACAGCACTACACACAAATGTTACAAAAAAGATTTGATTGTAGAATTTCGATAGCCTTGCTATTCTGTCTGTGTTCGATACTGATATGACATGGCCTTCCGCAGTTACAGGATATACAGTAGAGCGTCGATTATCCGAATTAATTGGGGGACCTAAGCGTTCGGAAAACCGGTTTGTTCGGATAATCGAACTGTGTAATTGTATGTACCAATATACTAATAAAAACGTATTTATAATATGTACAATATAAATTTAATTTATGACAGTTGTATTACAAGCTAGAGCAGTGATACGATTATTTACTTTACACAAGGTGCTGCTAATTCACGACGCGAGGCAAGCTTTTCTTGGCAAAGCCTTCCAATTGAATCCAGTTTCGTCAGAATTGTAAACGTTTTTAAAACATAATTTTCTTGTTTCAATACGTCGCCTAATTTGATTTTGAAAGAATCAGCTGCTGAAGAACCAGCACACAGTTTTTTTTTCAGTATTTGAAGCTCACGAATACCATGTCTTGACTTAAACTGTTTTAACCAGCCCATGCTTGCTTGAAAGTTCGAAGTTTTTCATTTAATGTTTTCTCTTTTCACATAGAACGGCATCAGAGATAGGTTCCCCTTGTGATTTTTTTTGTGTAAATCACTTGTAAACAGCATCATCGAGATCGGTGTTCGCGGCGAGCTTCATAATTTTACGACTTGTGTGTTGTGATTTTCGACTTGTGACTTAGTAAAATCATGCCTGGATATAAAATTGGATATGGTCGTCTTTTGGTTTTTATATCCGTAATTGTCAGCTTAACCACTTTGTACTTCTTAGATAACTTGGTTGCAGATTCGCCTTTATCTAATCGTTGGTTAATCTCGTATTTATATTTTATCGGTAAGAAAAGTAGGCCAATACGGGACACTGCGTGGAGAAGCGAGAAGGTGGTCGCATCCCAACGAGGTACCGAGGACCGAGGTAGCACAGTTCGGTTAAGCGGTCGTTCGGTTAATCGACGTTCGGATAATCGACGTTCTACTGTATCGCAGTACCTATATAGATCTTTGACACAACAGCCCGTCGCTGGTCTGCGTATTTTATGTCTTGCCTAAACTTCAAAAATGACTAAATCGCAAACTATCGATTTCACTGGCGATTTCCCTAGTCACCATTTAGGAAAAAACCATTTTATACGTGGTAGAGCCATGCTGCAATTATATTAGTAGTATAGTTGTAGCACGAATGGGTCGGCTCGACCGGGGAAGGACCACGCTCTCACAGAATACCAGCGTGAAATAGTAGCTTAATGCTGCTGTATTTCGTATGGTGAGTGTAGAGAACCGGAGACCCTTTTTACTGGAAATGAGGCATTCCATCTCAGTCCTCACGGGTGACAACGCATCTGCATTTTGATTTGTAATGGAAGATAGATGTAGATGTCTATGGGCCGCAGCAACCACTTACCATCAGGTGGACTGTGTGCTCGTTTGTCACCCTATCCTATATATTAAAAAAAAAAAAAGGAAACTCATGGGACGAAATGTATCATTTAGGGCCGTCACCACTTGCCATGATTCGATTACAAGTTGAAATTTTGCTTGCAAGCAAAAGCTTATTTTAATCGATATTTTATTTATCAACGGTTTCGTCAGACGTTGAAATATCATCAACTCTCGGCTTCATCACCGGTCGCTGCTTCACACTGTCTCCGAAGATACTGATCGGCCATTCATCGATAGCTTCTGGCTACTCCGTCACGCTGCAGCAGCGCGCTCTTGACATTTCCACCAGTACCAGTATATACCCACCAGGGTATCATGTTTTTGTGCATTATATAAGGGAGCCATTTACGGGTTTGTATTATTTTTACATGTACATTAAAATTCAAAATTTAGTTATTTTTAAAGATGTTAAAAATTAATGAGCTAAGATCCTCGTAATAAAATAAAATGATGTGTCTTACCTATTTATAAGACCGCCTTCCACCCTCCTCCTCCCTCTCAATTGCGTGCACTATCCCATTTACCAACAGTAGGCTCTGCGGTGGCTGACTGCTAAGTGACTACTTCACCTGAAGATGCCTCGTTTAGAGGCGAAACATGTGTCGTGTTATGGACAGTGGTGTGTCTTTCCTAGTGTAGCGGTGTTGGCAGTAGTGGTGCTGGGATTAGTGGTGACGTGGATAGTGCACGAAATGGAGTTAAGGCGGGAGGTGCTCTTCAAACTAGGTACGACACATTATTTTATTTTACTACGCGGATTTTAGCGAAATAATTGTTAAAATATTGAAATATTATGGATTTCCGCAAAGTAACACCTGATTCTATTAATTAGTTCTTTTTGCTTAAAATCATGGTATAGATGAATTTAACTCACAAGGGCAAGCAATACTTGTGATTTGTATAGACACGCGCTTTGGTTTGTGTTAGAGTAGGTAGCGTGAGTAAGCTCAACTTTAATCCACAAAGAAATACAAATAATTGAATTTTTGTTTCGTTAAGTGGTGAAATTAAAATATTTTTTGCAATCAATAATAATTTACATCAATATTGTTCTAGTAAATCCAGTACATATGTATTGTGTAAACTATTAGTACGATAACAAAAAAAAAAAAACTAAGTGAAGTCATAACTAGACTAGTCCCCCTTACCAGTTTCATTATCACTATGATCTTCAATTAACTTTAATAATAATACTTTTCTTTATTAGAACGTAATTAAAAATGACACACAGGTTAGCTCTTAAACTACGAAGCTGGTCTCTTTCGTACTATGTGCATAAACAATATTAACATTAATTATGACTTTCAATTAAATTTATACATTCCACTTATATTCTACATATTGCAATGTGTTAAAACTAGTTACCACTAATCTAGTATCATAGCAGAACTAGGTCAAGATCCTTCTAGAAATTTCAATGTTCTTTCTAGACTGTACCTAATACGTAGTTTTATGCCGAACCCAAGCTCGTAACAATATATTAGCGTATTGATACATTAAAATTAAATTTAAACATTAAATATTAAACAGAAGAGAAAAAAATAAAATTGTTTAATAATAATACGTAATAATAATAATGTCGTATTTGACAATGTTATATATGTTTATCTTATAATTATAGATATGTTATAATGCATGAAGTCGTGTGGTTAATGCGTGGAAGTGCTTATAAGAGCTAAAAATATAGGTATGTTTAATCAATTATTAGGTATTAACGTTCAATAGATTTTCGCAGCTATCATAAATGTGTTCATTCAGACACGATAAAAGTCAACCTTTTATTTTTTTGGTTAAGTTTCCTTAGTTTTATTTTTTTTAACTTATTATATAAGTATAGGGCCCGAAAATGATAAAATTTTCTAGCATAGGGTTCTTAAAATGGGTATGGGTAAGTTACCAACCCCCTTTTCTGTGGTTGGAATGGTTGGTACAGTAACACAATGATATAGCATTATGCTTTGAAAAACAGGTCTTACGTATACTTAATATATTAAACTTTTTATCTACTCATTACTTGTAGAGCAAATACATAACAACCTTTAACAAACTTCTGTGTGCACGTTAAAATTCAATCGTCTATTTTATGGGTCCACTCCCCAAGTACAAACAAAGTAGGAAATTAAATAAGAACGCGAATAATAAATTATATTGGATGACCTTTTTTGCCGTCTGGAAAAAAATTGGGTGAAATATGTGAATGGAGTTGAAGCCTAGGGCACTGATATTTTACAAAAAATAAAAACAAACATTTTGAATTAAATAAATAAATAAATTAATACTGTCGAAATTCAAATCATATTCACCTTACTCTACAAACGGCAATTTTACTCACGGCAATGGCACTCAGCGGGGTCACAGGCTTAAGGGCAATGGGAAAAGTGATTGTTCAAAAATTTTTTCAAACGTTTAATTCAATATTTTGTTTTTAGTTTTTGTAAAAAATCAGTGCCCTAGGCTGCTTACTCCGTCCACATGTTACACCCAATTTTTTTTCAAGACGGTAAAAGAGGTCATCCAGTATATTAACGGTAATTACAATAAGTCTGCTATTAAGGAAAATCCTTTCTAAAACTGAAAAATTCCATATCCAGCTGTAACCTCTACGGACTGAATGCGATGGTAACAATAAATCTATTATTGAACTACTCTACTGTTTCAACTTTTACAGAAGTGGATGTATACAATGGAGGATTAGTTGACTTCCTGTACATCAACACAGGTGAAACTATCAATGTAAAGCTCACTGTAGATGAATATGTTAAAATATCCAAAGAGGACGATCCATGTACATATTTAAGCGACTACAGCGCGAACGAGGTAAGTTTTATTGATTTCTCGATAATCTTTTGAGCAACACCTTAGCCTACCTATATTGCTGCAGCAAGAATGTGTCGGCTCGGGTGAGGAAGGACCACGCTCTCACGGAATACCAGCGTAAAATAGCAGCATAATGCTGTTGTGTTTCGTATGGTGAGTGTAGACAAGAATCGGACATTTTTACTGGTATTGAGGCATTCCTTCTTAGTCCTCAGGTGTGACAATGCAACTTTTGATCGAAAATAAATGTAGGTGGATGGATCAGGTGGATTGTGTGGTTAGGGTTACAAGATCCAAAACCATGATTTCCCAACAAAAACGCTGATCATTCAGTAAATTTTCCGACTTTTTTAGAATATAACACTAATTGATTATAATATTCACACATCATAGTATCGTTTATCGACTCATCAACAACAGTTTAACCGATTTAATGTTTCTAACGGTGTGACAAGGCATCTTTATTTTCATCGAGGATAGATGTAGGTGGATGAATCAGGTGGACTGTGTGGTCAGGGTTACCAGATCTAAAACTATGATTTCCCAACAAAAACGCTGATCATTCAGTAAATTTTCTGACTATTTTAAGAATATAACACTAATTGAATACAATATTCACTCATCATGGTATCGTATTTTTATGTAGGTATGTTTATCGATTTCTCAATAACGGTTGAACCGATTTAAATGATTCTTTTAATTAGTAGTGTATACTTCAGGGGTGATCCAATGCAGGTCCTTCCCTCAGGGTTGTAAAATAGAGAACAAAGATTTAAATGAAACTATTTGGATAACATTCTAGTGGTTACCTTCTGAAGTCGGTTTGTACTTTGAATAAAACTATTTATACGGGTTTAATTGGGTATAATCAACTTATTTAAAAAAATGTGCTATGTCTTGTAAGACATATATAGCTTTAAATTTTAACTTTAATCGGGGACTTTTTTTAACAAAGACTCGATTTCAGACACAATTTTCTAAATTGCATAATTTTTGAGAAGCTAATAGAAAGGAAGCTTCTAAAGAAGCACTTTGTGCCATACACGATCAAAGGGTCCTACTGCCTCCGCTCATCAATGGGTAAAGTAAACTAGAACATCCCAGCTGAGCGTACTTGACAGAAACCGTATTGGCGGACACTTATCAGCTGATATACAAGGTGAATTCCATTGGGTGTGAGCGGTTGAATTTTTTAGGGATCGGATGTGTTAAAGCTGTTTTCCATGAGAGGTCACGCCTAGGGAGTTGCACACCACGGGATGGTGTGTTCCCATCATCATCGAGAGTCGAGTTGGAAACAAAGAGCCCAAAAAGTTGTCCTCCCTGTAAACAAGAACGAGAGGTCTGACAGAAGTTTACTTGGAGAGCCTTTGTAATAACATTGAACGGAATGCACGCAGCCAGAGGATGCCCACGAACGTACTTTCAAGATCGCTGATGTTGCAGAAATTCATCGCTAGCGCGACAAGGAGTGCCATAGTTATGTTGCTCTGGTTTTCCCGAGCAATGCCAATATTGAGCAGGGTTTTGCTCGCCCCACAATATGCGGAGCAGTTTTCGCACCCACAGTAGCTTAGATGAAGCTGGTACCCTCCTGGGGTAGTCTTCTATTTAATTTCGCTACGATGTTATTTGAGGGGGGGGGAGGCTCCAGTTAACTGCACAGGGAAAACGCAAACATAAGGAACACTTCTACTTTATGCCGGTATTCTGTAAGGTCTTGGTACTTCCCCGGTTTGTGCCGGCTAATCCGTGCAACAGCAAAAGCTACTGTGTGGCTTTGCCACGTAAGATACCCAGACACCATTCAACATAAAACATCCAGCAGTGCCACAAGTGCTCACGTCTGGTACGACGTCTGGTAGTGACAAGTGTGCCGGCTTAGGCAAATGCTCTCTTATTTGACTATACTTAACTGCGAAGTAAAGAACATCCAGTTGCCATGAGATTCAGAGAATTGTTCTTTAAAATCTTAACTAAACATTCATCTGTTCGATGAAGTCATAACTAATTTAGATGGCGTCGTGAAAACCAAAATATATTATGAAACATAAACAAAATATTTCTATTTAACTGTAAAGTAGTTGAATGGAAATAACGACTAGTGTTTCAAACAGATGTTAAAATAGAAAACTACTTCTATAAACATATAAACATGTATATTGTCCTTGCATTCTACTTTTCTGTTGAAACATTTCTATATTCAGGTTCATTATACAACGTTGTAATATTATTTGAGGAAGATCAAACGGATGAAACAAATTCTACGCATTTATCGCGTTTAATTTAATTATACACTTAACCATTAGGTTCTAGACCCAATGGTCAAGTGCAAAAGGTTACTGCCTTTTGCTAAAACTTTATGGGCAATAATGTTTTTTCTTTATATGTATCTTATTAAGTGGTTTTCTCTATTTGTACTTTATTTCAGTTACATCCTTTTTTTTAAATCTACCTTGTAGCAATTTCAGCTAACATTTCTGTACTACCTGTATACGTATGACTCGTTAATTTTTGTTTAATTGATCGTTTACAGTGCACCACGCAGTACGTCTGGGATCTAGTGGGTATCGAGGCTGGATGCTCAGGGCCCTGGATGAGTAGCAAGCTACCGCGTTGCGATAACTACACCAGCATGAGGAACCTAATCAGAGCTTACATGAAGTAAGATAAGTTTATATTAGTTATTTATAATGATTTCTTACATTTACGCGAACACTTCAGATAAAATTAAACAAGTTTTGTAACTAGAAGACTTCAAGATAATATAAGCTTTTTCTGCGTAGATATAGGAAGTAGAGAAGTAGAGATTTTTACGTGGTAGAGCAATGCAGCTATATTGTGGTTGCAGCAAGAATGGGTCTGCTCGACTGGGGTAGGACCACGCTCTCACAGAATAATACCAGCGTAAAATAGCAGTTTTATGCTGCTGTATTTCGTATAGTGAGTGTAGAGAACCGGGGACACTTTTTAGTGGATTTATAAAGATTTAGAAATAGATTAAAATTGGAGGTCTTTATGTCTACTGGATTTAAAAAATAATAATTTTGGAGTTTTAAATGAACAAACTGTGAGAACTAAAATGGATTGTCTCTGGTCTCACAGGCTGTAATTTATCTACACTTTATTGTACTAAAGGTACAAACGGCGGACTTAATGCCATATGGCATTTTCTACCAGCCAACCGGAAAGTTAGCGGGAGATGTGTGTGCTACAGTGGGCTAGGGTACTACACACACACACACACCCAAACACCAACACACACCCACAAACCCATACACCCAC